AAAGGTTATCGGATACACCTCCCTCACATCCTTAGTCCCAGTTCTCTTCCTCTAGTTCAAAGAAACATGGACATGAAGGACACCAGGGGGTTAGCAGACTTAGCGGCATCTGACCCTGTGCTCTCCCTAGATCCCTGATCAGCTCAGATAACAAGGGAGAAAGCTTGGACTGACTCAGGAGTTAACTCACATGCCACATGACACTTTATTACAGTGATCCATTAGATCCCGAGGGTAAAGCAAAGCTCATCAGATAAATTTTTACTCAAGTGCAGGCCTACTTGCGTCATACAAAAGTTACAGTTACAGATAGGTAGTCGTGTTGGTCTGCCATAGTCAAAACAAAACAAAATCCTTCCAGTAGCACCTTAAAGACCAACTAAGTTAGTTCTTGGTATGAGCTTTCGTGTGCATGCACACTTCTTCAGATACACACAAAAGTTATTTATACCAAATTTCAAGGCTACACAGACTACAAGACTACACAATGTCTTTCACATCATTGGGTGGGTGGGACAATATGAAATCACCATTGCACAGTAAAACCAGTACCAGAAGCCAAGGGAAGGCTACACAGTGCAGGTGAAGCAGCATAACAATCTGACGCTCCAAACACTGTGTGCACACCATGCAGATCTACCTGGCACCTCACTGCTCTCCTTCTCAGATAAGTAGCACCACCCCAGGCTGTCCCACCATGCCCAACTACTGAACAGCTGGAAACCTGTTAGGGAGAATGCCCTTTTGTGTATTGACATATATTGCACCCTAGGCAAATCCAGCACCACTAAGAGGGTGTGTCACCACCCCCAATCACAAATTCTGGGCAGGTTACCTGTCAGAACATGCAGACTATCAAATTTCTAGGTCCTAAGCTGTGCAGGGCTTTATATGAATAAATGAATGAATGTTTATTATTACGGCAAACAGCTAGAATACTAGGCTTTATATGTTAATATAAGAACCTTGACCTTAGCCTGGTAGCGTATAGCTGACAATTGCAGCTCCTTCAGTGCCAATGAGAAGTATTTTTTGTGAGGTGCCCCACTGAACAGCCTTGCTGCTGAATTCTGCACCTGCTGAAGCTTCCAAACCAAATCTAACGGCATCTCCACAGAGCGTGTAGCAATAATCCAGCTACAGAAACTTAAAGTTTGGTTATTAATGCTAATATTTAATCTATTCATCAGTGCTCTTTCCTTAAAATTATCTGTGAAAGAGTGATAATGCAAAAGTTATTCCCATGAAAATAAACCAGACATAATTAATAAAATAGCAGAAGCATACATCAGGTATTACAATAAAAATAGAACTTTATATGGTGGTAATGTAACATACAGTACCTATGACTCATTTCTAACTATAGATCAATTTTCAATACAGGAGGGGAGGCAGGCAATTTGAGCCAAGCAAGCATTGACATGTTTTCCTAGCCTTTAAAAATGTTAATCTAAGATTTCAGTGCTTGTTCATCTTCTGTGGCAACCAACACCCTGACTTTAGGCACTGCATGGGGTAACACTGCTAATTCCCATGCACCCAACAAAGGGTATTTTTAGGCATGCATTAAAGCTCTCTAGCTGGGAATCAAAACCACAACATCGTCTCTCACTCCAGAGGTATCATTTCTAACCACTGCCATTCAGATGCCACTTAAGTCATGCATCCTTAGTTATATTTGCCAAATGCTAGGCCTTGAGACTTTGCCCTTGAAGGTTAGCATGATAGGTTCAACAGTAACAAGGTCTAAATGTGCATTTGTTTCTTTTCCTCAGTATATAGCAGCTCCTTTGTTGGTTTCAACAGATAGGTAAAATGATATAAATTATTTAACTAGCACATGAAGAGTTGTGTGAAAGAACTTGCAGGTTCTTATATCATTCTAAGTGGTATAAATGTCATCTTTCCTTTCTTTGAACATTTATTTCTCTAAATAACAAATGGATGGTTCTTCTTTTGCTTCAATCACAGTCTTGTACCAAGAACTGCCTGCTCTATTGTTTCAAACGCCAAAGGGATCCACAGATTTAATGCTGCTGCTGACCATATGTCCATAGGGTCTCAACCTCTAATTTCAATTATTAACTTCTAGAGTTCTTGATGTTTAGGAGTTCAAGAATATCTGATACACACTAAGACCACAATCCTCAACACACTTACTAGGAAGTAAGCAGCAGTGCTTCATATTTGTATAGCACTTTCAAATGTTCCAAACACTTCCCAGACATTATATAGGGCTCATCCACACTTACCTTTTGCCCCACGCTTTCTCAACACAGGTATGTGCTTTAAAGTGCCATTTCCAAATGCTTTTCTTTTCTCTCTCCCCATCCATGGTGCCATCCCTATGAAAACACACTCTTTAATGCTGAATTGGAAGAAACGGCAATTCGGGCAATTCAGTAGCAAAGAGCAGGCTGTCGCAGGAAAAGTGCCAGGGCAAAAAAAAAAAAAAAAAAAAGGGCCTCAGACAGGGTGCTTTAAAGCACAGAACTGTTTCTAGAAATGCTGTGGAAAAGGAAGTCTAGATAAGCCCCTAATTATGAACCTCACAACTCTTCTGTAAAGTAAGCCAGCACTTTTTCTCTGAGGTAAGCTAAGCTGAAAGAGGTAGGCTTGCCTAAGAATACCTTGCAGCAGACAGGAGATTCAAATCAGGGACTCCCTGATTCATACTTCAGTCGCTTAGCCCCCTATACTACCAGGGAGGTTTACCTAGTGCCATGTTGAACATCTTTTTGCAGGGGCAGACTTTGGTCTTTCAAATTTCAGCAGCAACCTGTGTGAGGCCAAAATTCAACTCCTCTTGTCTTCTATTCTGCTCAACTCACTGTCATTTGTTGAAACACTCCATGGCACCCCCTAGGCTCAGCGCCAAGTGTGGTGGAACTGGTTGTGCTGCCCTAAATCCGCCTCTGCTTTTTGGCTCCGGTGGAAGACCTTTTTATTTTCCCAGGTGTGTGTGTGTGTGTGTGTGTGTGTGTGTGTGTGTATTTTAATGGTTTGTCTTCTCTGATATTTAGCTGTTCCTGCTGCACTGATTTCCTGTTTTATTATATTGAATTTTGTATAGACTGCTGGTGTTGTTTGTAAATGTTTAAAACTTTCTGTAAATTGCTTTACAGAGAAACATTGATAAAGCAGTTGGTGGCATGCCCACCCCAAAACTTTTGCAGGCATAAACAGTATTGAAAGTGGGATCATATATAACTGCTCTGATACTATCATGAGCACTTGAAGGTGTCTGGCTACCATTTTGTAGAAGAGTTTCAAGAGCATACTGGAACTTCAGGTTTGTGCTAAACATTTAAAAAAGAATCAGACTTTTTCCTGTTGGAAAGTGATAGGGAAACACATTGAAAAATGTGGGACAAAGAAATTATTACAAGGAAGATGTATAAACAAACACCTTGCAAGTGATTAATGTAAGGTGAATGTTCATAGTCATAAAGTTGCCAAGCAAACAAATCAAAATGAATGCTCAGTAAAGACCAGATAGAATTTATGTAAACTTTGTGAAAACAAATCAAGATGAATCCTCAGTGAACAGGTCATCTGAAGAAGCCATTGGAAGAGGGAAGCATATAATAATTCTGCAGGTCAGGATATACAAATGGTAGCTATGTCAACAAGCTGATCTGGGATGGGAGAGGAGGGCAGGGAGGAAAACATCAACAGTGTTAGTTTTGAAGGTGTCTGCTTTTCAGCTCATAGTACTGACCCCAATTTTTACTTGTACTCAACACGTTTAGTTGTTTTACATAACTAATTTTCATATGAAAATAAGTAATGTACAAGGAAAAGTTCTTCTAAAGGGCATGCATGAGATAGAGAACATTTTTTCTAGTTATTCCAGACACCTGTTGTGAGAGACAAATCCATGCCAGGCTTCCCGTATATTGACAAGGAGGAAAAAGGTTTGGCCCCCCCGATGAAGCTTGATTTGTGAAAACTGTTGTCAAATAATACTCTTCCTGGAACTGATTCAAAGCATGTCCAAATACTCTGTATAACATGTGCTTGAAACATTAGGACATGAGCTCAGATACCTTGCATAGCTAAACCCTGACATAACGGGGGACTTATGCTAGCTGGGGGGGAGGGGTGCATATGTGTATACTGTATACAAGTACAGCCATACCTTGGTTTTCAAACAGCTTATTTCTCGAATGTTTTGGCTCCCGAATGCCACAAACCCGGAAGTGAGTGTTCCAGTTTGTGAACTATTTTTGGAAGCCAAACATCCGACGGGGCTTTTGTGGCTTCCAATTGGCTGCAGGAGCTTCCTGACCCAATCAGAAGCCACGCTTTGGTTTTCGAACATTTTGGAAGTCAAAAAGACTTTTGGAACAGATTCCATTCGACTTCCAAGGTATGACTGTAGAGTCAAGGAAGCTATTACAGGTAATAAGTCTTCCTTGGGAAAACTGATGTCTTGTCCAAACAAAAGACACAAGCTTTGGTGAAAGAAATGCAAGCAGCTAATAAGAGATGCAAACAAATAATTCAAGGAGCACAAGGCTGAAAACCTAAAGACCAACACAAGATATTCTTTAAATGCATTAGAAGCCAAATATCAGGTATGGGGAAATGAGACACAGGTATTGAGAGTGAGGAACAGAGGGAAGCATGTGACAGTGAGGGAGTAAGAGACAGAGGAAGGTGTGGGTAAAGTATTTTTCCCATTTCCCTTCTCTCCCTTCCTCCACCAAGCCTCCCCCAACTTCAATTTTTGCTGTCCCTGCTCATCTCCTAAATTTAAAAGATAGTTACATACCAGCGATAAGTATTAGTTCCCTAGGAAGATAGTTTTCACTATTGTGATATTATGTTTATTCCCACCCCACCATTCGTGACTGACTGACTGACTGATTGAGGACAATAGCTGTCAGAAAGTGAAATATGGCATTTTGATCTTCATTTGTAATGCCTTTGTATACTTAGTGTTGTTGCATAAATAAACCACTTGATTCTTGAGAAAAACTATCAGGAGAGAGAAGAAAGATTTGATGCTCTATTTATAGAACAAAACTGGGATGACAGATTGGATTCCAGCATTCAGCTTAATCTGTAAAATTTTAACAACCAGGATAAAATAATGTTCAGACTGAGAGCAACATAATTGCATTTGACATACACAATACAAAACAGTTCAACTACGCTACTTATTTGAAACTCATACTCAGATGCTGGCAAGATCTAAGTGTTCCATTTCACAAGACTAAACATCAGCCACCTAAAATGTTATTACACATACAACCTCTAAACTCTGTATGAATAGAAATGGCATGATCACTTAACAGGTGACTTTGAAAGAAATTGAAAGAATCACTGACTAATTTTGGCTTATAATCTTAAATTACAAAGCGTACCATCCTAGACATGCTTATTGAGAGAGTAAGAACAATTGACGTGTACTTCCATGTAAACGTACGTTGGGTTGCTGTTAAAGCATGATTCTCAAAAGTTCTTCTTAGGCTGTAATCCCAAACAAACTTACGACTAAGGAACATGCCCTGTTGATTTACTTTGAAATAAAAAAAGCCTCTGATTACGCTACTCAACACTTCTAGATGCACATGAAAAAACAGTGCAATTCCTATCACCAATTGAAAATTTTGGAGTTTCTGTAATGTAGAATCAAGCAGCTAGTCTATGACTGCCCCTTGATGGCAAGAATGGGAAGAGGAATAGCATCCCGTTACTTAAACTGCCATTCATATACTTGCATTTCTGTGTAATAACACTGTTTTTAAAATATGCAAGTATAATCTATCCCTATACATAATTATTTAAGAAAATGCTAAAGTTAATTAGCTGACAAAATCCACCTACTTTATACATGTAAGTAATTTGTATGCTGATGTTCTTGTTGTAGAACAGAAACCAACACAAATACAGTACCTGTGGCAAATGTAATCCAGATTCTTTTTTCAAAATTTAAAATAGCCATTTTGCTGATCTAGATTCCGCCCATCCCACCCCCACCACGAAAACAGATTGTACAAATGTTGATTCCCCCACTATTTCTCTGGGCTGCTGCAGTTTTATCTTCCTGACTGCTGCTTCCCCAACCCCAATTGATACCCAAGTCTAGCTGATATCCATCAGAAAGTTCTGAATGGACTCAAATGTGAAACTGCTGTTCATCTAACAAAAGTATAGAAAATGTCTCTAGGATCTGCCTCCATACCAGAGATTACAATGAAAAGTGGTGATTGTAGGGATATATTTTTTTAGGAAACTGGGTGGTGAGGTGAAGTGGGGTGTGGGGGTTGGAGAATCCCGGAAATAAATTACCGGTAGTCTGGTTAGCTCAATGTCTCTTCTGGACAAATTCGTGGAAATTTATTAAAGATCAAATTATCAGGAATATAGGATAAGTCCTGCTGAATGAGCATCAACATGACTTCAGCAGCACCAAGTCTTGTATCACTAATCATTTAGAGTTATTTGAGAGTGTCAACAAACACATCAAAAGGAGTAATCAGGTACACATTGTGTACTTGAGACTTTAAACTAGGAGTGGGGAACCTGTGGCTTGTGTGCCAATATTTAACACACCAGGCCATTTTCTCCAAACCATGCCCACCCACCCACCAATAACATCACTGATGATGTCAGCTGATGGAAAGAGAGGGTTTAATTCTGCATTGGTTGTATCACCCCATTCCCAGGAGGGAACAGGATCTGGCAGCCTAGGCAGCAGAATTTAATCTCTGCTAACCACCTGATGAGTGGAGATTACAGTCCTTTGCATTCTCCTTTAAGTGAGCAGGATGGTGGCAGGAAAATGTGAGACCAACATTGCTGCCACCCAAGGCTTGTAAAACCCTTCGCATGTTTGCCCCCTCCCCTTTTAAGACTGAAGCACAAGGGATTTTGACAGGTGCGTGGTCACACCCTTCTGTCAAATTTGGCACATGAGGCAGATAAGTGGAGCCAAAAAGGTTCTGCATCCCTGCTTTAAACCAACCAATTTATCTGTGCCATGCATAATTTTAGATTTGTTATGCTAGTATTTTATGAGGTTCTTATGATATTGACCTAATTTATCTTAATTTCTGTAATGCTTGATTAAGTTCTATTAAGTAAAGGAAATGTATTTGCTATGTGCCTGGAGACTTGTCCTTGAACACTACATTTACAGTGTGGTGACAGTAAGGGGGACTAACTCTCCCTCTTTAATGTGGCAGTTGTAGAGGGAGCTGAGATGAAAAACTTAGTGTCTGCTACATAGAAATCAGGCTTAGATTTTCCCCTCAGAGCATATCTGGATTTTGAGCAAGTACTGTGGACACCATCCCCTCTGGTAATTTATCTCCTCCCTCCAGCCAGATCAGTTCTTCATCCTAAGAGACATAGATAAATCACCCATGCACCCATTTCACTTATCCAAGGGATCAGCGTAAATGTCAAATCCAAAAGAGAAGTGTCTCTAAAAGCTCACAAAACAAATATCACTCCTCCAACTTTCTCCTTACTATGTACTTTTCGGGGGCGGGGGGGGGAGAAGGTAACCATCCATACACCCTCATGACCAAGGCAGCCAGTGAGGGAGGGAAGGGATTAAGACACTGTGGACACCAGGGGTCACAATGGCACTATTATGATGGCCCTTGTATTAATTAGAGTAGGAATGGCAGATTTCAAGCCCAGGGGCTGGATGCAGCCCTCAAGGCTTTGGGACTTTCTCCAGGCCATATTCTCTTCTCAGCTGCACCTAACCAGCCCAGCTGGAATATGTCCTTGAACTCTGATAATGCTTCTTGTTTGCTGGGGTAGGAGATAGAGCTGCTGTTAGCATGTGTATAGAAAGTAAGCTAAAATTCATGTTTATTGCTCTGCCCACTCTGGCCTTGCTAGGCTCTGGTGTTTGGCCTCCAGAAGGTTGCTTAGAATGAAATACAGGCTGAAGAGGGTTCCCCCCCCCCTAAGTTACTGTTGTTGGCATCCGTCTGTCTGCATAGACAGTGGAGTGCACCTCTGGGGCTGAAGTCATACTGCCATGTTAGTTATGGGAGGAGTAGTAACTCTGGTGAGTGACACTTCCTGCTTCTTCTGCGGTAGTTTCTCCACCTTTGGTCCCCACCCCACCCAAGTTTTAAATCATTAAAAAAAACCCAACTCCTGTCCCACTGATATTTTGTTCTAGAATGACACAATCAGTGCCATTCCATGCATGTTCATAGGAGCATTCATTTGGCCTTACTCCCTAGTAAGCTTATTTAGAACTTAGGGACATAGGTGCAAATACATGTAATAGAACCACAGCACTGTTTTAAAGCCATGAAACTCACCAGATGACATTGGGCCAGTCCGTATACCTCAGCCTCAAAGGGTTGTTGTGAGGATAAAACTGGGAAAGAACCATACATGCTCCTGGATAAAAATGTAAAAAAAACACACCCAGTAAATTAAAAAAAAAACAACCCACTACGTTGGGGACAGAATCTCTGAAGAGAAAAATAACAGGGACTTTTTACCCTTTTCTGTCACCTATCATTTCTCTCTGTTCCTACAATTTTGGTCCCACAACTTCTACTCTCTGAAATGTGAAAAGGATCCGGATTTCTTTCACCAAAGTATTATTTACTAATATTTTCCAAAAAGGAGAGAGAAAAAATCTTACAACACTTTGTTTTTAGAAATTTCTGTATAACCATAAATAAATCAATTAGGGGCGCCACAGAAGAGTCTATTTACGGTTCTTATTCACCATCATAATTAGAGGAACATTAAAAAAGTTTCATGTCCTGGGGGCCATCCGCAACCCTCCTTCGCGCAAAGATGGGGAGGGAAACGTCCAGCCGGTAACCCAACCAGCATTTAGAGAATCCCTCTAAGTCTGCGTAGAGCGCGCGGCAGGCAGTTCCCTTAAGCGGGTGAAGGAATGACGGGGGAGCGTGGGCACTGCAGCTTCCCTTGACGCTACGGAGTTTTCGTAGCCGCGCGGCCAACCTCTCCCTCCCACTCACCCAGCGCGGCGTTTTCCTATACTGTATAATAACATGCCGCCCACTAAAACAACATGGCGGCCTCGCTCTCTGGCCCCGGGCTGTAGGCGGCGCAGCGGCTCTGCGGGGTTTTGTGGCGAAGAAGCCCTGGCGGGGGGAAATCTCCGCCTGTGCCGCCTCACAACTCCCGTCTGCGGCTCCTCCCTCGCCAACTGAAGGGAAGTGTGTGGGGGGAGAGAAAGAAACCAACGAGCGGGGGTGTCCGCGCCTCAGGCTGCCGCCACGTCTCGCGGGCCCCCGCTCCTTTTTCCTTTTTGTTTCTTCCGCGCCGGCTCCTCCAACCGCCGCCTCTGCTGATTCCGGGGGCGGCCTAGAGAGGTCGCCCTTGCTCTGAGAGCGGCTGGCACAGGAGCCGAGTGAAGGGAGACCGCGCCGAGAGAGGGAGCCGGCGGCTTGTGGGCGGGAGCGGGGTGGCGGCGGCGGCGGCGCGAAAGAGGGACGAGGGGCGTCGTGTGAAGAAGAAGCGCCGCTTGCGGGCAGCCAGCAAATTCCTCCTGAGGCGGCGATACGGAGGGAGGCTGAGGGGGCAGACTGGGGATAGGGCTGTAGCTTTGAGGCGGGCGAGGAGCGGGGCGTCATCGTCTTCGTCGTGGATGTGCCTCTGAGGTAAAAGAGGTTGCCTGAGGTAAAAATAAAAAAAAAGCCGGCGAGGAGGAGGGGACAGACGGAGGCGATCAGGACACATGGCGGCAGCGGCAGCCCCGGGGCTGGTTTGACAGAGAGGAGCGCTGCTGCTGCTGCTGCCTGCGAGGGAGAGAGGATGTCGCTGCAGCCTTCGGAAGCCAGCTCGGAGCTCCTCTCGCCCGCCGCCGGCGACAAGCGGCTGTTGCTGGGCTGCAGCGCGGAGGAGGGAGAGAGAGCGGATTCCCCGGCGGAGGCGGCGGGATCAGAGCAGGACGAGAGGGCGGCGGCGCTGGCGGCTGCGGAGGAGGAGGAGGAGGGAGGAGGAGGAGGAGAGAAGAAACTGCCTCCCCAGCTGACGGAGCCCAGGGCAGCTTCTGGGGTATGTATGCATTATATGTTTGCTCCTGGTTCTTCCTAGCGGTCTGCTGCAGCAAAACAGCGGCTCCTTAATAAAGGCTGGCAGACTGATTGCGGCAAGGCTAGTAAAGGATTTCATGGACCACCATCAGCGGCTGAGATGCTCTTTTAAGGGATGCTGGAAAGCTTCTCCCGTCCACAGATGCTTCGCTGCTGAGCTCACCAGGAGATGCTGGGATGAATGGCTCGGCTTCAACTCCCGTGAAAAAGCAGCTTCAGGCCAAATCTTTCCTGGTGATAATGGGAAGCAAAGGGCATGAAATTCACGGGAGGTTTTGTTTCTTTTCCTCCCACCCTCTCAGGTGTACACATAATATACATGTTGACTGGTTTCACTAATGTAACAGCACCCAGTGATTAGCATCAGTGGGGTTTTTTGGGGGGTGGAGGGAGGTGGTTCTTATAAACTTATCCATAGAGAAGTAGCTGGTATTTAACGGTCCTGCCATTTTTGGCTACATTGTCGGAACAATTAGCGTGTTGAATGGGACAGATTGCGTAGGCGTGGTTTCCAGGATTTCTCTGTTCTGGCACGGAATAAGATCCCAACACGTTGTTTTTCGTTTTAAATCAAGGCCATTATAACATCGATGTATCAACAAATTTTTAGCTTGAATATAGTTTAAATATCTGTAAGTCCAGTGAATAAGTATCAAGGAAGATTTTGTCAAGACTGTTTGGGAGGAAAGGGGACTGCAGGGGATAATTGAGAGAAACTAGTTTCGGGGGACACTTTAAGGGGAGCAAGGATTTTGCTATACATATACATTAAATATAAATACACTGTGAATGAAAGCTTGAGGTCATTAATCAGGTAGCAGGACAAATTAGGGGGAGCACCCAACACCCTTTGAAAGTAACTCCAGGGGGTTGTGTTTTGACCTAGTGTGTATCATTCCAACGGGGCACAATTATGGTATGTACTTGTATTTAGAATGCATTAATGCTTATAGCATTCTCACCATTTAGCCTTAGTTTCTCAGCTATAGTTTCTCTCATAGTTTGATAGCTTTGAGAGACTGGAGATTGCTTTTGGAGAATGCAATTATAAAGTAAACAGTTTAGCAACAAATGAATGCTTAGAATTGCCTAACTAGAAACAAAATCATTGGTCGAATCTTGGGGGGTTGATAAATCCAGGTTAAAAATGTGCCTAAGAAGGGCCTGGAATGTTCCCCAAGATATTCCATGCATTAAATGACATCTAGCCACATTTCCATAGACTGATTATACTGCATCACAAACAGTGAATGAGGCACCCCATACTTATTGGGGTAAGAAATACATGATCCACTGGATCTTAAATGCACACCTGCCAAAAAATGTTAACAGCAACAAAGGGGGGGGGGCAAAAGGAAAGGTAAGTAGACACTTTTTAGAGAAGGAGAAGGTTATCTTTCTATTATGCATCACTCATTTGTATTCAAAAAGCTACACGAATCTCCCTCACTTGAATGGTAGAGTGGGAGGGAGTGCTCAGCACCTAGAACTTTTTCAGAATGTCTAAAACAAAACTTTTTAGAAGTGCAAAATGGCACATGCATGAAGAAAAGTTGTTAACCAATGATGGGCACTGATATTTTGGCAGCCTCATTCTGTGGAAGATTTATGATCCCAATAGAATCACTAGCTTATGGAACAACATCCTGTATTTAAAGTGTCAGAATATTGTGGTTTATTGCTGAGAACTTCCTTCCAACAGATGCCCTACAAGGTGGAAAGGCATGTGGATCTTCACAGCAATTGAGTGACAGTGTGTATTTGCCAAATCTAACTGAGCACATTATGGTACTGCAGAAGAGCCTGTTCTAAATATCTTTATAGGCCAAAAGGCTCATTTGAGGAGAATTTGAAAAGCTATATTCCATGTATCCATGGCCCCTGTGCTGCAAGGCAGCAAATCTCATTCTGCTTCCGGCTTTCTGTTCTTCTCCTACTAGTGGAAAGTGCAATTTGCCATCTGGAGAAAAAAGCAGCAGGGGGTGAGAGTCACTCACCAGCCCTTCAGCTAATACTGAGCATCCTTTTTCTTCCTAGCAAATAATTCTAGAACATTCACAGTAAATGTAGACCAGAAAATTATAATCAAGCACATTTGTGGGGATGATGATTCAAGTCCTAATTGTGTGAAAGTCTTCTGTAAACTCAGATTGAAGTTAAGTGCCTAAAAATTAAGAACATAAGTGCCCTGCTCAGATCAGGCCGGTGGCATTTCTAATTTAGCATCTTGTTCTCACAGTCGCCAATTGAAGGCCAAATTAACTGCACCATCCCAAGAGGCCAATACTGAGGCTAGATTCTTAACATTTGAGGCCAACTGTAACTTTTAAAAGATGTTTTATGCTAATAGTTTTCAGAATGTTTTCACTCTGTTTTTGTTTCATTTTTAAATTCTGGATGTGTTTGCCCTGGGATTCCTTCAGGAGGGCAGGAGGGATACAAATTCAAAACATAAATAGTACTTGGGATCAGGGCTGTCTTTATCTGAGGGTGCAAGGGGTGCGGAGCACCCAGGTGCTGAATTCTGGGGGGTGCCAGGCACCCACCGCTGAAGCCACCTAAGCTCTTAACTATCTGCTTGTTATGAAATAATAAATAATTTTGATCAAGCTAGAAAAACAAAATAAATATATACCTAGGTATTACTGAAATGTATACCTACTGTTTCACTAAAGGACTTTTGACTTTGTGTGCTCTTTTACCAAAGACGTGCCGCGCCAGCGGCAGTGCTTGTCATTCACAGCGGCACTGTGCACGCGAAATTAACTCTTACATCAAAATATTATGTTACGTATTGTATTGAGCTGCTATGCGGCAGCGGGGTCAGTGGCACCGTTGACACGACTGATGTTTCTCCTAAGTAGGTGCCTAAACATTACTTATAAATTTAAGTGTGGTGGTGTTGTATACTTAAGTATAAGTGTATTGTAAATAAATGAGCAAATAAAAAAGTTTGTTTCTTTTCCTCCCTTCTTTCGTAAACAGGAGATAAGGCTTAAGCGTGGTGTCTGACATAAGCCTAATAAAAGTTAATTTGGGGGCTGAACTAAATTTAGGGGCGCTGGGCACATCTTTGCACCCCAGCAGCTAAAGACAGCACTGCTTGGGATCGTTTCCAGTTGTGTACAATGAAAGTTATGTGCTGCAGCTCAGATAATTAAAAGGCTTACCTATGCATTTAACACTGAAATCTTTGTTGAGTGTCTTGTTTTGTGTGTTACAGATATCTGTAACGTAAGGAAAGGGAGCACATCTATTTTAGAAGAATAACAATTGTACGTCTATATTTATTTATCTGAATGGCTTGGGTGGAGGTAGCAAAAAAAGGAAGTACAAAATGTGTTAAATATAACTATGTTACAGAGATGCTTCATTGTATCTAGGGAAAGTAACAGATGGAGAAGAACTCAATGATATTTTGGTAACAAACGTCAAGGCTTATAAAACATTTTGAAATGAGAAAAGAAGAAAGAGCTATTGAACTGGAGCCCATTTCTCACAAAGGAGTTTTTATTTAGTGTTCTAAATAAGAATTTATGCCTTAATTGTTTAATGTATAGCAACAAGCACTCAAGTTGTAGATCTCTGAATTAATAGACAGGCATGTATTTGACACAATTCTGTGGACGCACAGAAGAACCATAGAATGTGGTTATGAGTAGAAAATCAATTTCTTGAGAATCTGCTTTTTAAAATAAAAGACATGTTTCTAGCCCTTATGGATGCAGATATATGTGGGGAATTGGAGTAGAGCTTCCTGAGAGCCCTGTAACTAAATACAGTGGTACCTTGGTTTACGAACTTAATCCGCTCCAGAAGTCCGTTCTTAAACCAAAGCATTCTTAAACCAAGGTGTGCAGTGGAGGACTCAATTTACAAATGGAACACACTCAACAGGAAGTGAAATGTTCTTATTCCAACAGAAAGTTCACAAACCAAAACACCTACTTTGGGTTTGCAGCGTTCTTAATCCAAGTTGTTCACAAACTAAGCTATTCTTAAACCAAGGTACCACTGTATGCTTAAAATATGTCAGCAATGCCTGCTGAAGTCTTGGGAGCAGTAAAGATGGCTAAATAAGATTTTCAATAGTTTGGATATGGGGATTTGCCTGTTCTAATTGTACTTTGCAAGTACTTTGGCCACAATAGGTAGGACAGTTTCTCTCTCATGAGTTCCTTCTTTTGGTGACTGGACCAGATGCACTACTTTTCATCATCTTCTTCTGACCCTGCCTGCCCCCTCCTTTCCCTGATATAACAACTTTAGATACAGCTTTGACCAAGCTGCTTCTAGAACCTGAATAGCTTTCAAAAGAGTATAAAAACATGTATTGTGCATTCTGTAGGTACTCCAGACCCACACACTTCAGCATCCTATATTGTTTTGTTTGGCTCAGAGGCACTGAATTAAGAGAGGACAGGGAAGTGCCATATGGCATGCTCTAAACCATTTTTAGTACGTGGGGTACAATTCTATTTTTGTACTAAAGCAATCCTTTTGTAGTTAGTATATGAGAATCCAGCCTACTAATATTGGCTAAATAGTTCTTAATTTGTTATGAA